ACTTTCAACTTTTTCTATTTAAGGATTAATTGAATGGTGATGTTGACATGGCAAATGGATATTTTAAAAAAGGTTAACATCCTTAAATAGAAAAAATTGAAAGTTGACATCCTTAAATAGAAAAAGTTGAAAGTTGACATCCTTAAATAGAAAAAGTTGAAAGTTGACATCCTTAAATAGAAAAAGTTGAAAGTTAGCATCCTTGAATAGAAAAAATTAAAAGTTGACATCTTTATTTAGAAACTAACAAAGTTGACATATTTAAATAGACAAAATAGAAACCTTCTCCTAAAAACCCTCAACTTCCTAATTTAAATCAAACTCAACCACTAAGTAAATCACCTTATCATCTGCCACATAAGTTTAACCCACCATGAATTCCATCTAGGTTATAAATTTTCAAGCTAGCCCAAACCAACCCATCTTGCTGACTCTCCTTACATGGTTTTAATAGCTAGGCCTCACTTTGACATGTGGCCTCATCTCATTAGTTTTATTTTAGGTGTAAACACACTTTTTTCTATTTTTTAAAGATATTAACTTTTAACATTTTTCTACTTAAGGATGTTAACTTTTAATCTTTTCTGTTTAAGGATATTAACTTTCAACTTTTTCTATTTAAAGATTAATTGGATAGTGATGTTGATGTGGCAAATGGATATTTTAAAAAAGGTTAACATTCTTAAATAGAAAAAGTTGAAAGTTGACATCCTTAAATAGAAAATGTTAAAAGTTAACATCTTTAAATTAAAAATGTTGAAAGTTAACATCCTTAAATAGAAAAAATTAAAAGTTGACATCTTTATTTAGAAACTAATAAAGTTAATATCTTTAAATAGAAAAAAAATGTAAAATTAGCATGCTTATTTGCACCTTTTATCCGTTGTCAAAGATCGAAAGAGTTGGACATATTTTATTATTGATGGAAATCGATTATAAGGCATCTATAGAAATGGGAAGCTTCGTTTCAGTTTGGGGAAAAAGTTTGGCGAAGAGAAGAAAGAAATTAATATAAGACTGAAGTGGCACAGGTGGGACTCACATTGCATGGTTGGATAAAAAAAAAAAGGCAGCGAAACAGGACAAATTTTTTATATAATTTTTACATGTTGTTTAATGAGTAAAGATGTATTTAATATTATGAATTTTAAATAAAAAATAAATTATTTAACTGACATAAAAAATTATATTAAAAAATAATATAAAAAATTATTCCTAAATTATTTTTTTAAAATTAAAAAAGCAACAAATGTCTCTGCATTTTAATGGTCAAAAGATAGCTTTTACCCCTAAAATATAGGTTAAAACATGCATTTAACCACCTACCTTAATAAATTTGAAATTTTTACCTCCTTACCTTATATTATAAAATTTTTAAGTTCTAAATTTAAAGGTTTGAAAATTTCACTCTCTAAACTAACAGAATCCGTTAACTCTCTATTAAAGTAAAAGTAAAATATTTATAGGATCAATCTTAAAAAATTAAAAATATAACAATTTAGTTCTAAAAATTTTAAAATTAAAAAAAATAAATTAAAAATAATTAGTGGATGACTTTACTTCATACATAAGAATAATATTGGATATTTACAATTAAATTACATGATTAACTTAATTTAAATAAAGAAATTTGACTGAGATTAAAAAATAATTTTTGATTGTAGTCTTCTAGTCTTTTAAACTTTTTATCTTAATTTAACTAAATTTTTTTTAATCTCAGTTAGAATTCTTTTTTCAAATTAAGCTAATTACTTGATTTGATTATATATAATTAATACCATGTGTATGTAAAAATGTCATCTATTAATTTCTTTTAGCTTACTAATTTTTTTAACTTTTAAATTTTTTAGAACGAAACTATTGTATTTTTAATTTTTAAAAATTGATTTTATAAATATTTTGTTTTTAATTTAACAAAGAGTTAATAGAGTTCATTAATATAAGGATTAAAATTTTCAAACCTTTAAATTTAAAAACTATGAAGTTAAAATTTTAAATTTAATAAATTAAGCTACTAAATGCATATTTTGGCGGAAGGGACAAATTTGAGGTCTTTCTATAAAATAGAGAGAGGAAATGTGAAGCAAAATTCGAGTAGGGAAGGACATCACGTGGCTCCATGGTAGAAGATTTACATTGAATTTTTTTCAATACTAGACGGACAACCGTTGGCATTCACATAAGAAAGTGAATTTATGTAGAAATAGTGGTCGGTATAAAAAATTTAAAACCACAGTTTATATTTAAAAATTAATATTTAAATTTAAAAATTAAAAATTTAATTAATATCTCAATTTAAATATTAATATTTAATAAAATAAATTTTTAAATTTTAAATTAAATTTTTAATTTAATAAAATAAAATAATTTATAACTAAAATTCCAATTTTTTCAAAAATAAAAACTCGTATGTATTTTTTCCTTATATATTTTTTATATCTTTGATTGACCAATGAAAAGTAAATCCTTTACTTTCCCTTAATCTACCACACATCATTTGTTATTTCGACCATAATGAGAATCACTGGCTATTTAGGTCGCTGGAAAGTGGATGGTTACCACGGCATCCTGCTTCTGGAAATCATTAATTACCAGTTAGACGAATACCTCCTCGAACTTACATTTTCTTTCAATACAAATTCTTGAAACTTCTTTTACAATTATGTCAATTGTCAAAAATTGAATTAGAGATGGAATATAAGTTGGCTGCGAAAATTTTCCCTGAATTTACCGGCATGGAAATTGTACGAGAATAACAGACACGAAGAACTGGTAATGGATGAGAGCTTAGACAGGACTGCATAAAGAAGCAGAAGATGTCAAGAAAGTGATAAAAATTGCTTTTATCTGCACTCAGCCGTTGGGTACCTCCAGGCCGACCATGTCTGAGGTCGTCCTTTTGGTCAGAAGTATAGGATCCTTCCGTCGCCGGCCAACAACCAGGCCCATCCTCGGCGAATCAGATAAATACGAGAAGCCACCTCCATTGGCTCTTCCGCGACTAATGCCACGGCCTACATTACCCAGGTCTGGTGGCTAACTCTTCTTAGCTAGATTAGACTATTCGTCCAATGAAGACATTTTCTTTTCATAGAAACTTTTTCCTCATCAAATGGACAACAATTTTCCTTTATTTTTCTGTTTTAGGAAAATAAAGTTGCCTTTGCAATGGACGTAATTTGGAAAGTTAAATATAAACAATATTTTTATTTTTTTTTTCGGTTGGTATTTTCCATTGTTGTTTGGACAAATATCTGTTGGTAGGATTAGTAGTTGGTTGATATATTATTTGGTTAAAAAAAAGAAACAAAAAAACAGAAAAGGATACATAAAATGAAACGAATGTTTTTGTGGAGAACAGAGACATGAAGTGATATGTAAGTGGAGGCTTAATCAGCTAGACTGTGAGATATGCATAAAATAAAGTCGATAAAAGTGGGATAATAATTATTACTTTAATCCATCAGCAATACAGAGCACAGAGACCCCATTAATTAGTGGGATTCTCATTCTCATCCCACCAGCACCCTCCAACTAGAGAGACTCACATATTCTCTGGTCTGTGCTATTGGCCCTTGTCAGAATTTTTCTTTGCTCAAATGCTTTGTGGGTCCCTTGCACTAATCCTTCACTCACTTCACATGATCTTTAATTATTTTTCTCTATCATATTTATTCTCCTTCTGCTAACACCAAACTATGATTTCTTGGGTTTGTTGTTGCAGCAGCCATGGTTGAATCAGGTATTCTCCTCTTCCTCTTCTCCTTTTCATTTCTTTTTTAAGTCAAAACATATTTAATTTGCTCTATCTGTTACCTTTATTTGATGTTTTGGTATTGATATTATTTTCTGTCCTGCTGTGAAATTTCTTAAAAGGGAAACTAAGTTTTGTCGTATTTTATATGATAGAATTAAGTATTTCAGTGCTAGGATTTTGTTGTTCTTGATCGGGATTATTGTGAGCATTGTCGTTACAATTTTATTAACTTCCACATTTTCAGCTCGAGCATCTTAGTTTCTCCACTGTTGTATCAGAAAAGGCTTACGTTGGGATTTAGACTAACATTTTTTCTGGATTTTTTAAAAATACGGTATTAACTCTTTACCACGAACACTGACCTCCTTTGCTTCATTTCCATTGAGTCTTTTGTTTGATGAAAAGTGAAAATCGGAGTGTTTTGGCATTTTGAATGTTAGTACTACTTGTGAAATTGTTCAAATACCCTTAGGTTGCTTTGGGATGAATAGTCCTTTCATGTTGATTCATTAGTTTTTTCATAATCATTTCTAACATTTTAATTGCTAGGATGTCTCGATTTTCTTATATCCCTCTGTTTTATTTATCGATTTATACTTATCAAAAAGTATTTTGCAGTCTACACTGCACAACACTTACCATTCGATGGGGGTGGGTCCCTTGATATTGGAGGCTGTCCCCCCATCTAATGTGGCCCCTGTCTTGCAGTCTGGTGCAATCTGGACTGCAAAACAGGGAACTTCTTACTTATAATAGACAGTTAATAAGTCCACTTCTGTAAAGCTGTTTTCAGATATGAGAGAAACCTTCACCATTAAACCATCTGTCATTGCTTGATGAAGTAGAGAATAGAAGCTATAGATTGGGGTTGATGAATAGATGCACTCTTCTTGCTAATTTACCATTGTCATAAAGGAAGGCCTGCTACCTCAAGTTGCTTTACAAATAAAGAAGGGATTCTTTTCTCTCTCTTTTTCTTTTCCTTTTTTCTCACTTTTTTAAAAGAAGAAAAAAACAGAACAAATGGATTGCTTTAGTTGAAGCAATTGCACAAATGTGAACTATAAATAACTTGATTGGATAGAATAAATTCTGAGGAGAATTCTGGAATGTGCTATGCTAATCCAGAATCCAAATTCTGGAGGTTGAATATTTTTTGAGGGTTGAGACTCAAACCCATGTCAAAGATCATATTAGAACTTAAAATCTTACTCTTCCATGAAAAATTGGCCAAACCTAATCATTTAGGCATGCTGTACTATATAGACTTTTATGGAAAAAAAAAAAAAAAAGACATAGAGAGCTTTGAATATTATATTCTGACCACCATATAATAATGTCCTATTGTAATTCTTGGATAAGCTATCTTACCTGTCTTGATTTATTGTGTTTCACTTTCAACATACCCTCCTTGTTGTATGCTGCATCCTTCAATGACTTCTAATAATCCCATAACTTGGTTTTTTGTGTTAGAAATATTAGTTTTCCTCTTTTGATTTCATAAAACTGATTTTTTGCTAGGCTTCTGTGAAGTGACTTATCAATGTCCAGTAATTAATGAGTAATTTCTTTTGCTTTCTTGAAGGTGGTCAGAGTTTATCGGGTAGATTTTTTTGGAAAGTTGAAGGAAGCTGCTTTTTCAGAGCTTTTCCTAAATGGCTTCTTCTAGAACTAGTCACAATTTCGTTCCTACTCCTTTCCACAAGACTTAGTTACTCATCTACCGCGCCTGATATTGAAGGTAAATAGTAATTTATTTATCATGTTTCTTTTGGCCTTATAATTTGTTTTTCAAATATTTCAGTATCTGGGGCTTGGGATTGTTTGAATTTGATGTGAATGTCATATTCTAGGTGATGCTATGTTATATAATCTCATTGAATGCCTGCTTATAGAGATCTCCATAGGCTTTTGTGGCATTCAATGTTATTCAGTAATTTGTCCTTTTGAATAGATGTAGTCCTCCAGTTGTTGATTATTCACTACAAAGTCAAAGTTTGTTTGATATAGGAAAAAGAATATCCTATCACAATACAAAGAGTCTGACACAAGTTTAGGTATAAAGAATGTATGAGAAATACTTGGAGACAAGATAGTGCAGAACTGTAAGTAATGACCTCAATTTCACTAATTATTAGTCAGAATTGTGTTCTTTAGTTGTTTCCATCGTTTGTGCACTGTTGTCTTGTTAAATAGTCTTTCAATACAAGCTGGTGATTCATACATAGAGTTGGTTTGGGTCCTGTGGATGATATTCAAACAAGAAGTAGATCCTATTAAGATTGAAATTCTGAAGAATCTCCAAAAACCTTGCTGGTGAGTCAACTTTATATCCATACATCTCTGCATATGTATTTTATGGGTAGATAAGTATTATACAACAATATTTTGTCCATTATTATTTCTTCCTGCTTTCTATTTCTCAATTTACATTTCTTCTTCTGTTGATCAGGTGAAGCTTTGATTGAGTTTCTCAGTTTCCTAAATGATTCCAAACACCAAATAACAGATTGGGATGATAATCTTGTCAGCCCTTGCGTTAGTTGGTCTCATGTCACTTGTAGGAATGGAAATGTCATATCATTGTAAGCCCATCCATTTTCTTATTTATGAATTGCTACTTTTATTTCCCTTTCAAATATTGTTCTAACTAGAAATTTACAATTATTTTTTGTGCTGTATACTATTAGCATTTAGGCTTTGAAAAATTACTTTGCAGGGACCTGGCTGCAAAAGGATTTTCAGGAATCATTTCATCTTCAATTACCAAACTGAAGTTTTTGGTTAAGTTGTAAGTTACAATTTTGTTCTATATAGCTGCACCTTTTGCATGATGAAGCTGACTGCAGCTATTTTTATCAGATATTGTCTTAAATGGGAACAACTGGGTAGTCTATACTGCATATGATATATGATGGTATTGTTGCAAAGCTGGAGGAGGTGAAAAGAATAAGTAGCCTTCTAATGAAATGCAATCGAACCTGATTGATAAAATTTAAGAGATTGAAAAAATAATCTCACTATTTTTCACACATTCCATGCCATTTGGTTTGGAAATTAAAATAGTGGGAAGTGTGTAGTTTTGAGTGAATGACTTGAGTTCATACATGGAAAACCACTTTGTGCCAGAATCAGACTTTATTTCATTTGCTTTTATGTTTGACTTTGATATGTTCTCTAATGTTTTGAGACAATACCATATTAGTTCAATACTTAACTTAGAAGGGACTTATTATTGAAACTTGTTAGCAACTTTTATGATTCAGTTTTACTTTATTTTTCATGGTGTTTAATCAGAGAAATTCTTACAAAGATTAAACACTTTTGCAGGGATTTACAAGACAATGATTTATCAGGTTCTTTGCCTGATTTCTTTGGTGACATGCTTCACCTAGAAAGTTTGGATCTTGCAAATAATAAATTCAGTGGCTCCATACCCAAGAGTTGGAGTCAACTAACCAATTTAAAGCATTTGTAAGAGTACTTTCATCATTTTCTCAAAATTTATTTCTTCCACTTATTATAAGTTCAGGAAGCGTGCAAAATATGCTGTAAAAATCAATAGGCTTTCTTGGTTTTCTATCACAGCTTGTCAGAGCAGCTTTTGAAAACTAGAATGCTAATGTTGGCTATAACGTGCTCTATTTGTTGGGAAGCATTTGTCTGGTTCCATTCTTAATACTTTGGTAATATAAGCCAATTGATGTTAAATAGTTCTAAAACTTTATCTAAGGCATTTAGCAGTAATGGGTTGTTTCTTTTTCTCTGTTTGAATCAATTACTCTATGTTTCTATGAGTTAACTTTAATAGTACTCACAAATCTTTTCATTGACAGGGATCTTTCATCAAATAATTTGACTGGAAGAATTCCAGCACAGTTCTTTTCAGCTCCAACCTTCAAGTAAATTCCACAAGAAAATTTATCCATTTTCATTTTAGTGGTTATCATATGATAGGATCAATTTTTCTTGAAGAAAGAAAATAAAAAAATAAAAAAAAATAAAAAGAAGCTTCTAGTGACAACTGCAATTTGATCTATAGCCAAAATTTCAGAATTTTTTTATTCTTTCAGTTGATACTGAGCGTTTATAATGGGATCTATAGCCAAAATTTCAGAATTTTTTTATTCTTTCAGTTGATACTGAGCATTTATAATGGGAAAAAGAACTTTTACTTTGCTGAATTGTTAAATATGTGACAATCCATTGCATCTTATATTTCATGGTGTTTAACTTCCTGATAGCTAGTGTGTAATCATTATGGTTTCAAGTTCAGTGATTTAAAAATTTCCTTCCAACTCAGCTCTGCTTTTGTAATGAGAGGCAGATTAAAACCCCTTAATTAAGCCCACAAAACAACATAGGTTTTAAGATGCTCAAATGCTTTTCTTCTAAGGGCAGAAAAAAATCCCAGGGAGGACATTGAATCCTGTTTAGTAGTTTTTGCAGATTCTTAAGCACTGCAGTTAATTTCTGACATCCACTTCCACTGAGTGTTCTTGCTTACAATAGGTACTGACGAAGACCAAAAAAGTCTATTGCATCATATCTACAAAATGGGGGAAAAAATGGGTCAAAAGCTATCAAAGCTAGAGGAACTAATGTGTGACCCCAAGTATTGAGTGGTTACTTATGGACACGTATTAGATTATTTAGTTCATAACTGACAGCAGATAAAAGGGTATGATTATGCTATTCAGGTTAAATTGTTGGTCTTTAATGACATCCCTCTTAACCACGTTTCCATTTTCTAGATGCATCAAGATGACAGACTATAACCCAAAATATCTGGTTTATTGCCCTATGTACATTACTTATGTAAATCTATTTCTGATGTTAGATGTCTATGTATCCCCCCTATTGCTTAATTTTTATAAATGTGGTAGATACTTTGCTCTTGTTGTTGACAGCATTGCTCTATCAGCTTTACAGGGACACATCTTGCCTGTGGCTCTACCTTTCCCCATCCTTGTGTTTCAGGCTCTCCTCTCCCAGGTTTATTATTTAAATCATCACATTTTTCCTATATAATGTTAATGGACAAACTGTTTGCTGTTTGAAGTTGTACTATTTTGACAGTTTCAAGCAGCTGGACAAAACTAAAAATTGTTACGACTTCTGCAAGTTGTGGTGTTTTAGTTCTTCTATTACTTGGAGCAATCTTTGCATGCCGTTGTTATCAAGCCCAGAATTTAAAACATGAAATTTTTGTTGATGTGGCAGGTAACTACGTTTGTTGCTCTGTTTTTTATGAATAGTTTTAGCCACAAATTCTTACTCTATTATTTATGAACAATGCCATTAACTGCTAAGTAACTCAATTTTAAAAGTAAAAACCCTAGATTAACTCCATCAGAAAATCCTAAATTAACTCCAAAATTCTACTGCATCCCACTTGTTCCATCTTTTTCATTCATAACTTTGTAGTGAGACAGGGGGGTGGGAGTTTGGGGTTGCACAAAATCACCAGAGTAGGTTAGGAGCCAGGAAGAAGCTGATAAATCTTGTGCTGCTTGGTTTCAATGGAGACGTAAAAACAACAATCAATGACAAAATGTTTAGATTGGAAATTGGATATCTAGAAACCCATATATGTAATTTAGGTTCAAACCTGTTTTAGGGACTATGATTGTGATGGAGAACAAGAAGAAGCTATTGAATGGTTACTTAGATTATTTAGGATTTTATTATTTTTATTCAACTATGATTATCATTAGTTTTCCTACTTTTATTAGAATAAGGTCTTCTATTAAGAGTCTTATATGTCTTTTACTATCCTGAATGGGTAGAGTACCTCTTGTAGTCCATCAAATAAAGTTTGATTTTGCTGATAAAAGAAAAACAGTCTTTTACTGTTTAGTTATTTTTATTTTATCAAGAGTCTAAGTCCTAGTTGAATTTGGAATTTAAATTCCAAGTTATAAGTATAAATTAGAATAGAAATTTGAGTATGAGTCTTAGTAGTTCCTATATAAATATGCTTATAAATTCTTTCATTATCCAGTCTAGGTAATGGAATACTCAGAAGTTTGCAGCAAGAGTCTGTGATGCAATCTTGGTTGTGTCATGCAACCAACCTTAGGTGTGATGCTTAAGGGTTTTTATCCTCTTTAGGTTTGATGCCTAAAGAAACCTAAGTGTGGCTCCTAGGATTTTATTTGTCTGTTTATTTCCCTCTTTTCCGTAACTCAAATTGCTACCTAAACCCTATTTCACTATTCATGGCACTGTTCACAGCCTAAAGGCCCTAAACCTTTAAATCCCAAATCCCACCATACCCCCTAACTTGTACCACGTTCAGTTGGTAATAGAGCAAAGGATCCTACAACTTTGTTGCTGATTTTTTTTTTCTTTTTTTTTTCTTTTATATATCATGGTGGAAAATGGTGAGTTGAATTCTAGAGTTACAAAAAGAAATTGGAAAGAAATAAAACCTGCATTTAAGCAGTGGGTAGAAAAAGTGATCTGCAAGGAAATTCATGAGAAGAACTCGCTTGAAGAAGTGAATGGCAGCAAAGAAGATTTAGTGTCAAAAGAGGACAACAAAGAAGTTGAAAAGCTAGATGATGCAATAGAATTTCAAGATGCACAAAGAACAAAAGTGGAAACCCAAGCATGTCTTGAAAAGAGCTTCAATAAGGCTGAATTTTCTTCTACAGTTCAAGATGTTCAAGCTATTAATTTCATCTTTCCAGCAGAGTTTGACATAATAAACAACCCTTTTTATTATCAAGCTTGTTGGGGTCACAAGAAGAACTCAAGTCATGTCAAGTTTTGGTACCACTCAAGCAGTTTGTGACCTCAAGAATTCTACTACTTCAGCACTTCAAAACTCAAGGTCGAGTTTTCTCCAACAATGGAGAATAGGAAAAGAAGAAGCTATTGAATGGTTGTTTAGATTATTTAGGATTCTTAAGTAATTATTTTTATTTTATCAAGAGTCATAAGTCCTAGTTGAATTAGGAATTTTAAATTTCAAGTTATAAGTATAATTAGAATAGGAGTACTAGTAGGAGTCTTAGTAGTTTCTATACAAGTATGCTCGTAACTTCTTTCATTATTCTACTTTAGTTGACAGAATATTTAGAAATTTCAGCAGGGTTTTTCTCTTGAGATTGTGTGATGCAACCAACCTTAGGTGTGATGCTTAAGGGTTCTTATCCTCTTTCTTTGGCCATTGCCTAGACAGACTATGCTCAAAAAAATAAATGGCATTTTCTTTCTCCTGAATGTATTGCAATTCTTTGTTTTTCCAGTTATTCTACAATTTAAATGAGATTCCTTTATTGAGGTCATTGTAACATGAGGGACATTGTGAATGTGGGTTTTAGTTTTCTCATAACGTATACTACTAAAGTAACTTTTTCATTTCAATTCCAATAACAAAGCTCTTATATAAATTAACATTATGAGTTTTTTCATTTTTTTCCAAAAATTTAGGCGAAGATTATGGAAAAATTTCTTTTGGCCAGCTTAGAAGATTTTCATTGCGTGAAATCCAGCTTGCAACTGATCATTTCAGTGAAAGCAATATAATTGGACAAGGAGGCTTTGGAAAAGTTTATAAAGGTGTCCTCGCTGACAACACAAAGGTTGCTATAAAACGCCTTGCTCCTTGTTATAGTCCTGGTGGAGAAGCTGCATTTCAAAGGGAAGTCCAACTTATAAGTGTTGCCTTTCATAAGAATCTTTTACAGTTGATTGGGTTCTGTACAACCCCATCCGAAAGAATCCTTGTTTATCCTTTCATGCAAAACCTTAGTGTTGCAAACCAATTGAGAGGTATTTTAATTAACTGCACTCTTGTACAGATATTCATTTTGTTTGTCCTAACTTTGGTCATGGTTTAAAACTGGAGAACTGATAGTAGAGCAGGAAATTTTTTGTTTTTTGTCTTTTGATTTTTGTTTTGTGTTTTTTTTTTTTTTTTGTGTCTTATTACTGTTTAATTCCTTGAAAAATGAGAACTTAGAATTCTCTAGAAAACTCACACTAATTTTATCTCAATTCTTATTCTTTTTTTTCTTTTACCTCTATGGTTATAGTGTTTAGGATCTTCCAGAACGAGCATTTATCATGTAACAGTCTGTCTGAAGTGAATTGGAAATGGTGAATGGTTGCTGTGACTCCATTTATATTCTGTGGGGTTAACTTAGAGCTTTTAAGTGGCTAGTCTTGATTTTAATTGCAGATTTCTAGCTAATAATGACCTCTAAAATATATTATCTATGATTTTATCTAGTTTACATTTAAGGTGTTATTTTCTTTTGTTTTTATTTTTATGTTTTTTGCTCCTGGTCATTTTTGTTTCCAAAGCTTTCTAGTTACCTTTTCCCTGAATATCCAGTCATTTATATTTCAATAGGTTTTGGAGGAAAGCTAGTTAGGGAGCATTTTGTTTTCAACTGATCATCTAATACCAACTTGAATGACATTTAGAACTGATAGATGAATTGTGAAATCCTCTTTCTATTTGTGGGCTTAACTGTTTTGATGTTGAATAGAAGCCATAATCACTTTTGCCATATTTTGCATCTGAGATTTCTCTACAGATTTAAAACCTGGAGAGAAAGGTTTGGACTGGCCAACAAGGAAACGGGTGGCTTTTGGTGCAGCCCATGGTTTGGAGTATCTGCATGAGCATTGCAATCCTAAGATCATACACCGTGATTTAAAAGCAGCAAACATCCTTTTGGATGAAAACTTTGAAGCTGTTCTTGGAGATTTTGGGCTGGCAAAGCTAGTTGACACTAAGTTGACTCATGTTACCACTCAAGTGCGCGGTACAATGGGTCATATTGCCCCAGAATATTTATCCACAGGAAAATCTTCTGAGAAGACAGATGTCTTTGGATACGGAATAATGCTTCTTGAACTGGTAACAGGTCAGCGTGCAATAGATTTTGCTCGTCTTGAAGAGGAGGAGGATGTTCTTCTGCTTGACCATGTAAGATGTTCAATCATATATTCATTCATGAAACTTGTGAACTTATTTTCTATGTTGGTATTGTTTAGGGTTAATGAAATATGAGAAATGTTTCTGGCAGTTTGTTAGATGGAATGGGCCCTTAATGTAGGGGCAGGTCATCTCCATCTGATGAACCACGCACTAATGACATATAATGGGCTAGGTTTCTTTTTCACTTATTTGCCTGATAATTATCCACTTCTTAGGTATGTTTAAAAACAAACCTTGGATAAGTTTACTTCTATCCTTAATGTTTGATCTATCCATAAAAGTACTTCTTGGCTTCCTAGTTTGATTGTTGGAAGCATCTTTTTCCTCCTGCAGAGAGTGGACTAGGGTAATAGAGCAATTTGCAAGAACCACTTTCCATCCTAGCATAATCGTGGATAACATCAACATGATGACACATACATTATACATGGAAATACTTGCATTTATTATTCCACTTCCAACATTTATGGGGGGGCCTTCTAAATTGATGTTGTTATGACGATCAACAGATTAAGAAGCTATTGAGAGAAAATAGGCTCAATGACATTGTGGATGGAAACCTGAAGGCATATGATCCAAAAGAAGTCGAGACTGTTGTCCAAGTTGCACTACTTTGCACCCAAAGCTCACCTGAAGATCGACCAACAATGGCAGAAGTGGTGAAAATGTTGGAAGGAGTGGGTCTAACGGAGAGATGGGCAGAGTGGGAGCAGCTTGAGCAGACAAGGAATAGAGTATGCTCACTCGTGTCTCACCAGTTCTTATGGGCTGATGGGTCAAGTATTGATCAGGAAGCCATACAATTGTCCAGAGCTAGATAGAGTTTTTTCTTACCCCTGCCTGAAATCAGATTTATAGATAGGTTTTTAACCAAAGTAGAATATTATATATTATACATTAAATGCTGAACATGGTATTAAAAATACCTAGTTTTGCACATAAAGTTCCTACCTGCATCTTACCTCTTGTATCTATTATTCTGCTATGTTTGGTGCATGTTCATTGGAAATTTGTGGAAATTAAGAGTGCTGGTAAACTAGTTTCTAGCAGTAAATCAAAAATGAATTAACGAGTTTTGGACTATTTTCTTTAGGCAAAAAACCATTGATTGCCCTCCAAAGGGTATTCTCCCCCCACCTTACAATGTAAGAACCTTTGCCCCTCAACTAATTATTATCCGCTAAATTCAATAAATAGTCTATTAATTATGTGGTGTATTTAAGTTTAGTTTAGATATAATTTTTTCTTTTAAAATCATTTATAAATTATTAATTTTGTTTCAAAATTGTCTACTTGACAAACATTTTGTTAACTAGACAAAGCGGAATGTTGGTTTAGAGAAGTTGGTGTAAACAATTTATCTCCTCAACTTTTGAAAAATATTAAATATAGTATATATATTTTTGTTTTTTGCAACATTTTATTTTTAAAA